ACAGCACGTACAATATGCAGTCCAGGCTCCCTCTTCGAAATATCGCGAAGTTTTTCACACCTTCGGCCGAGACAAAATGTGTGGAATATCAACACCTAGCACTGGCACCTGTTGCCTGTGTCCTGCCAAACAGCCAGCAAACCAGGCGGTATCAATACTACACAGTCTGACCGCGGTCGTCATGAGGCACGGCGTTGACACATTACGAAAGGTTCAGAAGAGCCAACATCCCGTCATGTTTTACTGAGGACGTGACCAGTGACGGTGCTAGGGGCTGTCTCGATGGAGTGATGTGTTCGGTATCCGTGCGATGTAGCACAAGTAATTCAGGTGCCACCAAGAAGATCAATGGTCTCGGAAGATGTCCGGCCAAAAAGTCGACTCGCATTTTGTCAAATGCCTTTTTGTCGACTGCTGTTTGACAACTTCCACATTGGCGACGTGTAAAAAAGTTGGCGTGCCGGCCGGAGCAGTCGAATCGGCCAGTGGCGAACTGCAAAATGGTGACATGGACGAGTGGCAAACAGCTGAAAGGTGAATTGCAAAATGGCCATATTCCAAAAGGCCGACATGCCGAAACGTTGAACGGCTACGTGGTGAACTGCAGCATGGCGATACATGACAAATTCGACCTGCCAAATTGATGAACGGTTAAACGGAGATCTGTTTCAGGGGCTTGATTGAATGAATGGCGACGTGGAAAAATGGCTACCTGTTCAAATGACAAAAACCCACACGACAACATGACAAAACGGCAAGCTCTAGTGATAGACACAAAAGCACCACGTGGGAGATGAGACATGATGAGATGAGACTCCCATCTCAAGTCTGAAGAAGATGGTCTTGAGCTCTTGAAGGCTCGCTGATTTATCCACGTGGACGGGGTTTTTAGGTTACCCTGCAACATTAAACCCAGAGGCGACAGGCCGGGTGAGTGAGAAGCCAAAGCACGGCAGTCTTATGCTCACGTGCATTCGAAGGGAATACTCCTCCAACCAATTCAATGCGGCCCGTGCCGTGTGTGACGTCACCCCGTTCTGCGGGAATCACACTCCGTCCCGTTCGATCGCGTCAAGTCGGTTCGGGGCCGTCCAGAGAGTCATCAGAGCGGTTGTGATGTAAGTCTCTGAGCCAGTGGCGCAGGCAGGGGGAGGGACACAAGGAGCAGTGCCCCCTTCCCTCAGTTCGCGAGGGTTTTGAACGGTCCCGCACGAAAGACGATCAAGAGCCCGATTTAAGGGCCCGCAGGGCTGATCGGAGGTCGTATTAGGAGGCTCCGGTCCGCGGGGCCTGACCTTGAAATGCCTAACAGAGGGCATTTTGCGCCGACAGGGCCCTGAGTCGATGAGGGCCTCTATCTTGGCCAGACATTACCAGTACCAAACGCAGGGACATTTCCAACCGGGCCCACCTGAGCCGGGGAGGGCGTCTTTGTCGGTCAGGCACCACTACCACGGACCAGCGGCTCCTGTCGGTCTGGGCCTTAACGCGCGCTCGGGTGGGGACCCCCCCCGAAAGTTTTTCCAGAATGGTTTCCGAATGGTGCGGTGTAGCCGCACCAACGTTTGCATAGCTATGTACAATTGAATAGCAGATCGTTTGGTGTAATAAATTTAGGTGTACCTTGTAAGGTCACTGATCTATGGCAGGTCAAAGTCAGGTCATGGTTCCAGCAAAGTCAATTTCTAAGGAATCGTTCAATCTGATGCAACAACAGAGTGTTTGACGAAGCTATACATCTTTGAGATGCTTTATTAGGCAACACAAGCATTGAATGAGCAACGTAAGTTGACCTAAGGTCAGGTATGAAGGTCAGGCCAAGGTCAAAACCAACATGTTTTATTGCTCTGGGGCTTGCTGTATGGGATATTTTCCGGTGCTCATTTTGAATTCATTGATGGCAGGAACCGGATTATACAAATTCAGTTGACTTCTTACATGTCATAATAGGTCATTGACCTAAGATGACCCAGGTTAACATTTTTAAAGAGCATACTGCCGAGCGTAATCTTTGTCCCTTATTCAAATGCAAAACTCAGAGCGGTCTAGCATGATTTTGGTCACCATGACCTTCAAAAAGTCAAGAAAGGTCACTGACATTAAATGAGCTTGTGACCTGCTAAGAAGCAGCTATCTGGGTTCTGGAGTCACTTTGGAGACCGACCTGAAATTTGACCTTGTTTGACCTTATTTGACCCAAAGGTCCTGACTTAGTGATCTCAAACTTTGACCTAAGTGAGTTCACGTACACCGAGACCTGAGGGGGGTATAACTGACCCCCCCCCCCACCCGAGCAAAGGGTATTTAGCCGGTCACCCGGCCGCGTGTTGAGGCCCATTTCACAAGTATGGGCAAGGAAGAAGCCCACGATCTACGGTGGTCAGGACCAATGAGGCAATGAGACACCTCCTCTGTTGATCGTGCCTGACAGGGGTCCTGTGTTGGCATTAGCCCCGAGTCGGCCAGGGGCAGTGTTCCTGAGGGCCCGAAAGGGTGACAGGAGGTTGTAGTAAGGGGCCGCCCTGCTCGCGGTATCGGGCCTTCCAAGGCCAATCGAGGAGCTTTTACGCCCATTGGACCCCTCAGTCGATGAGGTCGTCTGTGTCGGTTAGGAATCATCAATAGCGAATAGCTCTGTGTCGGTTTAGGGAAGCTCACTTTTACTTTTATATATAAGAACATCCTGGTGGTGTTCACGAAATGTTTACTATAGTGCGTAGTATGTACGGCCAGGTTACGTCATTCTGCATAAAACCATCCTTTCTGCGCCTCTGGCCGCCATTATTGAATGAAAAACACTATCGTTTCTCTGATCACAGCCAGCCGATTTGCCAAGACGTTTTTTTCTGTGATTATGCACCATCATAAGCCTTCACTTAATGCATCTTTCCATTGGCCTAAAACGGAAGCTTTCAATAGCATAACGATCTTAGAATCGACCAAATGCTTGTTTTAATGATATTTACATTTAGGATGCAAATTAGGGCGGCCGAAATCCGGGGATGAATTAGGTTGCGGGGGTAAGCTAGGTCGACGTCTCAGTTTAGTTCCCCCCCCCCCCCCTTACCAATTAAAGAAAGTGACACCACAGATCTCACGACTACAAATTGCGCAGACATTCTTATCGCTCTCAGTCTCGCCCGACACCTTTTCTGCGAAAACGCTAGAATTAATGAATAAAAATGTGTTCTGCAGTTCTGCTTAAATCCTACAAGTGCAAAAACATCACCAAATTTTGCGCCAACATCGTTCGCAGTAGGTGCCACCTTGACCACAGCTCTGCTGTTACCAATCATTTCGGAAGGGAGCAAGCGACTGAACTAGTAGAATACTGTGTGCGTTGCGCGGCATGTTTCGCGACAGGTGGTCCCAAGTCCACCAGTGCATTGCAATGCCATTACAACAGAACTTGACCACAATATGCGGCAAACGCACCATTCATCGCAGCCTGGCGCTCTAGCCGGCGCCGGTGGGCTGCAAGCCAACTGCGTAGTGGCAGAGTCGCAATGTTCAGCCGTTCCAATATTGATTCGCATAATCCGTCATTTTGCGTCAGCCGTAACAGTGCAATATTTTCTAGGTGTCACTGAAGTGTTTTATGTGTGCTCGTATTCATCGTGTGTACGGCGCGTTTGGCGGAGGCAATGTCCAGGCCTTTCCAGTTGCTGCGTTATATGATCATGATGTTCCAGGCCTAAAGCCACCTTTGCCATGGACCCTTGGTGATTGCAATCTGTTCTTGTCTATGCCGTGCGCGAAAGCTGCTGTAAGGCTGCGACTCGGTCGCCCTCGCCCACTGGCTTTTGACACTCACTGAGTAATCACGCGCCGTGTGTGTGTGTGGTGAGCACAGCAAGGCCCACACACTCGGGAATGCACTACTTTAAGCGAACATTGGACGGCGCTCACTTCACTTAGCTAAGCACTTAGTTCGTTTGCAGGGCTTAACGACAGTATGCGTGGTTTGACACATAAAGGCAATGTTCGCCTTTGAAGATATTGACACAAGCGTCAGATATGATGAAATAAGCTCACTTACAACTATTGATATACTTTTAGTTGAAAAGATGCTTCAGACATCAAAATTTCTTCGTTTTGTGGCTGGGCTCTTCAATATAGCATTGCTTGGCTATGTCATCGCACCCTGCACGACATTGATTGAGAGTTAATTGACGGCCATTATGTTTGGAAATCGTGCTTACGAACGCCAGATATGAACGAGTAACACTTATATTTCTCTTGGCCATGGTCGCCACAAGGCTTATGAAATTTCAGAGTTTGAATGACGTTATTATGGCGTCATAGATGCCTGGCTGACCCTGAAATAGTCTCCCAAAATAGTCAGCACATGTTCGCGGTCGTGTAACTGAACAACTAGAGTGGTTTAGGTTTTAAGAGGGGCAGGGCTGTGATCTGCAGCAAATGATTTTTAAGACGGCTGTTTCATTTCAAAACCCCATATAAATAAGAAAACTCCCTTTGATATCGTGAAGGTCTTCATTTTCGTTGAGCCTTGGTGTTACCATAGCCTCATTTGGGCATCTGGGAGATCATCTGATGTTAGCGAAGCCTCTGAAGACATCCGTCGGTATGATCTCATGTCCGGATGTTATGACCGCGGTCCACCGTTTGGCTCACATGGGCGGACACGGATATTCCAGCTCACTCTCTTTGTTACGACCGAGGCCCATCGTTTGGCTCACATAAGCGAATACTCCAGCTCATTCTCTGCGGCGGCCAGTTCAAAATCAAACATTTTCGATGGATCTGTGCGTCAGCCATGATAGGCAACGTCGTCAAGTAGGCGTTGGCTGACTTTGACATGAATATTAAGCCATACGCGGACGATGGAGCGGACGAGGCGGGACTAAAGCTTTGTCCGTTTACTTACGACAACGAAATGTTTACACATGACTCACCCTCTCGCCACGCATGCTCAGCGTCGTGTTGTTGCTCCCGAACATGAGGCATTGATCGTCCCGTGTCCGACCTTGTTGCAGGCACGTACGCGGCGGTCGGATTCCGGCTTAATCTGCAGCGCAAGGTGCAGTTCTACCTGCTGCAGACGTACTTGCCGTCGGCGCTGCTCGTGGCTGTGGCCGGTGTGTCGTTCCTGGTGCCGGCGTCAGCAGTGCCTGGCCGCATGGTACTCTGTATCACCACCCTGCTCGCCGTCACCACCATGTTCGCCGCCGAGAGGTACAGGACCACATGTGTTAAAGAGATTGTTCCATGGTGGTTTGGGTTTTTAACTGAAAACGTCAGTAAAATAGCTAAATAGTTAACCACTGGTTATAACTGAGGTTATTACATCACATTGTTTGTTTCTATATCTTCAACTATTGGAACATTTTCTTCAATAAAACGATCATTCACAATTTCTTGATATTCCGTTGTGATACATGGATACAGATGTTCTAACGACGCCGTCTGATAGTGTTTTCATCCTGCTCTATGTAATTTCTGCGCCAGTCATCTAATGCATTCTGTTACGATTCCTTTTTACTTAAACTAGCATGCAGAAGCAGGGCCCTTTTACATAATCAGAAAGCAATCGTGCCTGGCAGTGTGGCTCAGTAAGTGGATTTCAGCCGCTGTTCCGCATTTCTGACTGGCGATTGTCATAAATTATAGACACTGGCGTCGCATGCGGCCTTTGATTTAAAGCCGTAATGGTAACCGTAGACATCCCTCGTATTTCAAGTGCTAGGGCAGGAAAACACGGATCTGCAAACGTACACAATTCATGTGTCCTTTTAATCGATGCTAATTAGCAGCAGTTATGTTGAGCCAGGGCAGAAAATAATTCGGGTAGGAGGACGTTAACGCAGGTGTTAAAACCTAATAGGGAAGTATAATACATATTGAAGGTCAAATTCGGCCACCCGCTACAATGCATATCCAAAGGATTAGTGGCGGTGAATTATCTAATAGCAGTTGCGTCAATCATTATTCGGACTTAATGGTATTCCAGGATTTCAATGAGCTATGCTTTAAGGCTCTCGGTCTTTAAATCATGTTTTCCCACACGCGAGGCCTCAAGCGTTTTCAGCATACCATTTCCAATCAAACAGACGAAACACGGTGCCATGGGCTGTTGTGACGTTTTCCATGACTGTCGTCTGCAGTGGAGATATGTAGATTTTGCTGTTGTCCGTTGTGCCCAATACTGTTCTGGCTGTTCTGGGCAGTGGCACAGGCCTTTCTCCCGTCACTCACAACGGGGAGACATCGAGGTCATTTTTGTGCACCCGTTAGCAACCGGGTGGTGATCGTCCTTCTAACTGAGCGTCTTGCGAGCATGTCGTGTGGAACTAGATGTGATTTAAAACGCAGTCATCTTTGCGCGTTAACCTACCTTCGCACTCCCTGAACCTACGTGACTTTGTAGCCATCCTGCGCCATAAGCCTGAGGCCCTGAAGGACATGCGTTATGCTTACATATCACACCTGAATTGATCGCATCAGCTCACACTCGTTGACAGAGCAGGGACAACACAACTGGAGGTTCCATAAAACTCATGTTACGCGGCGTGTTTTCAGGCAGGCGGGCCCTCCGCGTTAGCTACATCAAGGCCATGGATGTGTGGATGATCGGCTGCATGGTGTTCTGCTTCTACAGCACCGTGGAATACGCCTTGGTCATCAGGTGCGACGCTAAGCAACAAACGTGCAGATTATCGACAGCGGGCACACAGAAGACCCGACAGTGTGTGTACGGACGACCCGACAGCAGGTGTCCAGACGACCCGACAGCGGGGTGTACAGACGACCAGACAGCAGGTGTACAGGACGACCCGACAGCAGGTGTACAGACGACCAGACAGCAGGTGTACAGACGACCAGACAGCAGGTGTACAGACGACCCGACAGCAGGTGTACAGACGACCAGACAGCAGGTGTAAGACGACCAGACAGCAGGTGTAAAGACGGCCAGACAGCAGGTGTACAGACGACCCGACAGCAGGTGTACAGACGAACAGACAGCAGGTGTACAGACGACCAGACAGCAGGTGTACAGACGACCCGACAGCGTGTGTACAGACAATCCGACAGCAGGTGTGCAGACGACCCGACAGCAGGTGTGCCCCACTCATTTTGAGAAATTGACACCCGTGAACCGAAGGCACGGTGTTCGATTCTCCGCGGTGCACACCCTTCCGGGTAAGTTGCGAAGCAGGAAACTTCATTGTAAAGGCCAATAGCACACACCATTTTGCCATGGCTGTTCCTGTAATGTGTTTAAATCCCGCGCGGCCGCACTAAAGACGCCAAACGACCCGAGCCTGGATGGCGATCCACTGCTTGAGGGCCACTAGGGTAGACATATCCAGATATACTGTTCATCATCTGTAAGCTTCCCTGGTTAGACTCCCACTTGCAGTGTGTCACCAATGGGCCTGAGTTATGCCCTTGACCGCAGACTGGGGCTGAGCCAGGAGGAGAAGCTGAAAGAGAGTTTCGCAGTTCCGTCCGCGCCCGCCCGTGCCAGCACCACCGGTGTCAGGGGGGTCAAGGTCCAGCCGCTGGGCCAGAGCGTCAGGCCCTGCTCCTGGGACAGCCAGAGACTAGCCAGGAACATTGAGAAGTGGTCCATTCGCTGTTACGCCTGCTTGTTTGCTACCTTCAATGTGGTCTACTGGGCATATTATGGAAGTGATTAAAGGCTTTCGAGGGTCACGCGGCATTTGATGCGGTGTGGTAGTGCTAGGATGTGTTTGCGCTGTGCTGTGTGCAACAGGTGGACGGGAAATTGTGACAAACGAAGTTGAATTTTAACAACACGCCTACGTTGCTGGGCTGGGTTAGCCCTACTCAAAATGCCCGAGCTCGGCTTGTTGGTCTGAATGCGTAAAAAAGCGTCGATTTTTGTGTTAGGCTGCGTTTTTGTCATTGTTTTGTGGCAATTCAGCCCGGCCATAATAAGTGTTGCTTTCTAATATGACTTAACTTTACAATGCACAACACAAATGTGTTACACGTGCTGTGAAAATGGTGCGACGAAAAGCTCCATGGTAATTCGTAATATCTAATATCCATCAAAACTGTTCCCTAAAATTATGAGTTGGCTCGCCTACTCTAAACGCACGTGCACGTGCTCACGCCCATAATCTGGTTCAGTTGTCAAAAATGTGATAAGTTTCGATTGTCCTCACTTCGGTGAAAGAGGGCTGCTTCTGGTTTGGTTTTGAACACAGCTCTGTCCGTTTCTGGTTTTAACATGCGCCCGGGTAGCCGGTTAAGTGTCTCTCGCTCTATTGGAGGGTCAGGTTGACCCCTAAGATGTCAAAAACTAGGAGAGCTAGATGGACCTTATTCACAGGATGGGTTACACTGTATGCGGACTAACTTGTCTCAAAATGTTATCTGCTAAGACGTGGCATTGGGGTTAAATAAGGTCAAATGAGGTCACACTCCAGGTTGGTGTCCAAAATGCTCCTGGACCTTCCATGCAGCCGCTTTGAACCTAGACAATTACTCCAGGCAAAAACTCACTACCTTCATTTAAGTTCAGTAGCCTTTTTATCTGTTGAAGGTTAAGGTGATTCAAAACCTATAAGATTATTTATATTTTTCATTTGAATAAACAACAGAAATAACGCTAGGCGGTATGTTTCTAAAAAAAGCAAAATGCTGGCCTGGATCGTTTAGGTTAGCGACCTACTTTGACTTAAGAAGGTTATGAAACATGTCTGTTGTGATCCCTGTTATTAATATATTCTAATGACCACCAGAAACTACCCTTTGCAGTAGTTTTGGAGGAAAAAGCAGCTTAGTTTCGACTTAGGGATGACCTACATACCTGACCTAAAATCAACGAAATTTGTTGTGATTCTAAATTGAATTTTGTATTGCCTAAGCAACTATCTCAGAGATGCATGGCTTCATCCAACACTCTGCTGTCGAGTCGGAATTAAAGATTCCCTAGATGCATTCGCTGACAGCCATGTTCTGACTTTGATTTGCAATAGGTCAGCAGCCTTAAAAGGTATACCTAATTTTGTAAACCAGAAGATTCGTTGTTCAGTGCCTACAGTCGTGCAGAGTTAACCGTTCGGAAATCTTTCTGGAAAACCTTCGGATTGGGGTAAACTTGACCTGCTCTACCCAAACGCGTGTTAGTCAACTACATATGCTTGCTGGTACGCATTGGGCAGCATCGCAGGGAAGAGTGGTTCTCTTTTGAAAAATATGTTTTGTCAGTGCATTATTTTCGCGCACTGGCCGGATGCGACGCGCTTTCTTTAATTTATAAGGCAGAGACCGGCTCGCTTCACCTTATTTGCTGGGCAACAACAGTTATGATAGCTATGACCGCTAATGTTATTAGGCTTTTTAGTGCAATTTCGCCGGTGACAGCGCATAAAGCCACATTAGCGTGAAAGTTCTGGGCTGCGATTTTCGTATGCATTCAATAATGTATCACGGCCTTCATTGGTGCATTTTCATGGAGTGTGGCCGCCTCAGGACGACCACTGCTAACAAGAGTTCACATGCGTCTCTCTCGTGCAGAATCTCGCGCACGAACGAGACCGTCGTGCACTCGTCACGGTCGGCGCCACTCGGCTGGCCCAACACTGAGAGGCTGCTCTCCGCCTCTCCTAAATCACCAATCACCATCTGCTGTCATGCACACGCCTGTCAGTGATGCGCCGCCCGACGCGTGACGCAAGACGCGTGGTTCATATCGGAAGTTCACTGAAATTCTTACCCGCCGATCAGGATAAAGCTGCCAACATAAGACGGCTCCTGCACAGCCCGTAACACCACCCATAACCAGAAAACAGCGTACTTTTATCGCACTACTACCCTTGCTACCTTCAAAATGGAATGCACCATGCATTGCGCCGCCGTCACCTCGAATGACCTGATTCGTGCCTTCGATAGTGTAAGCCACGGCGTCCTTCTGTAATGCTTCACTGATATGGCACCGATCCAAGGTGGCTGGATCACCCCAGTGGAGCAGTCGGATCCAACGTAGCTGGACCACCCCAGTGGAGCAGTCGGATCCCACGTGGCTGGACCACCCCAGTAGAGCAGTCGGATCCAAGGTGGCTGGACCACCCCGGTGGAGCAGTCGGATCCAAGGTGGCTGGACCACCCCGGTGGAATAGTCGATTGGGCGATTGGCAAAGTCGGGCGTCACTGTTTCGTTGGAGTTCTTTGGTTCAGTAGTGACACGCGGCTGGATTAACCTCGACCGGCTTCTATCCAGGAGATGACAGCAACTGGTGAGTGCTCGCTTTGTCATGAAAACTATGCTGTTCCGACCAGCACCGCGGCATTGAGAGAGGGCGTTCTTAGGCATTCTTCTGTCTGGTGCATGTCCCAAAGGCACAGCCTCACTTCATGTCACTGGAGCAGTCCTCTGATTCACCGGGCACGCCAGAGCGGGCCCGGTGATAGCCCCGGGTGCGCGCCAGTGGTGCCACCTGGGATGTCTGACATGAAGCGCGTGGTCAAGACTCCCGCAAGGGTGCCGAAAAATGAAACCTCTGTCGTGTAAATAGTGTGTGCTAACTGCTGCCGTGCTAATAACAAGAAAAGCCAAGGTTGGTAACTAAACAAATTAGAAATAATAAAGATCCGAGGTGGTTCGAGTTTCATACTGGCGATTGGCAACGGATGGCGGGAGGCGGCTGTCCCCTGAGGTTCAGCTCGTCTTCATGTTTGGCTGTGGACAAAGCCAGAAATATCACTCGGAGTGAGGGCATTCAGGATTCTTCTGCGCGCCAGGTGAGTGTCACTGAAGGAACAGTCATGAGCAGGTGCTGCGGTGTCTGGAGGAGCTTGAGCGTCAGGTACCTCAGACCAGGACGCTGGGCGCCCGAAGCCGCAGCGCCGCGTGCGATGTTCGCGCGGGCAGTAGTAGCCGCGATTTGTGACCGCGGTGTGTGGGAATTAGAGACGCAACTTTTTCCAAAATATCAGCCCGCACTCAAGCCCGCTCTGCCTAGCTAGTGACCCAGCCCGCAAAAAAAAACCTATGCTACAATGCTGATCCGCCATTAATCCCGAGCAACTAATTTATTGCAATATGCATGCTATTATTTTACCTTATATTTATACCTATACACTAAGGTGTGCATAAAATGGCATGCAAGTATCATCTCATACATAGCATTGCTTGGCTAACACCAGTGACGCTAGTCAGAGAGCAGTAATCAAAGTACCTGCACAATGGAATTTATAATGCATCGGAGTAGATCTTAAATACTGTGGTAACAGTTTTCCAACCACAAATGAGAAGGAAGATGGTGAAAATAAACTTTGCGTTTCGCCAAAATGCTCCAAAGCTTTCGCCCCTTTTACCTCCCTGTGTGCTGTTTTTAGCGCTCCTGGTTGACGGCTGAAAGGCCCTCAGCTGTTAGAGTTGCGTACATAACCTGTTCTGTGGCGCGAGACGTTAGTGGTACTTGCTCGTGTTCAGGCGTTGTGTCTACTAATTGTGTGACAGCCTGTTGTGTTTTTTCTACCGACCTGTTTTGTGTTTCCACATGTTTTGGCCAGGCTTTCACATGACTACGCTGGCACAGATATGTATATATATATATATATATATATATATATATATAATATACGCTACTTATTTGTACGTACTGTTAGTCTGTGCACCAATGAAGAGATGAAATCTACCACACGGTCTCTTGAAGCATACAACGGTACAACTATGTCCAGTCAGGGCACGCAGACAAGCTTGACATGCCGCACTTCAAGTGGATATGGATACATGCATCCCAAATATACCGTTTGTTAGTGGTCGATGATAACTGGGTTTCGGGTGCGCGTCGACTTCAGCAGTCACTCTGCGCCCGCACCTTGTCATGCGTCTGTCATGCTGTTATTTCCCTCGACATTCCATCAAAGCTGCCATTTGCTTTTAACGTAAGCCGTTTTGAGTGGGTACAAATTTATTTTCGACAGAGGTAGAGATCGTCTTCATGTGGCGTGTACCACCCGTTTCGCCGCATCCTCGGCAAGCTCGTTGTCTTTAATACTCGCGTGACTGTTGATCCAGAGAGCACAATCGTTTTTCCATCAAGGTCAATAAGGCGCATTAGAATATCCTGTAAGGAGACACTTTGCCAATAAAACCTCTAGAGCACCAACAGCTTTTTAAAGTCAAATGAAATTAAGTGTTGTGCCTTGTCACCGACCTCAATAGAGGAGGGCGCCTTGATGGCAGCAGCCAGTTTCGTTGTGTACACCGAAGCGCGTGTTGGTAATGAGATCTCAACTGCGGTGTCATATAAAAATGCCGACCAGACAGCAGACTTTAGAACCATCCGTGTCAGTAGATGCTCTGAACATGAGCCAATGAGTTCTAGAGCCTTGGTTCGGAAGTGACCTGGGCGTATGTCCTGTTCCGTAATGCCGCACAGCGATACGCCCGCTTTCGGCTCGAGTAGCTCCCATATAGGGATCAGCCTGAGGTGGAATCCTGTGATTTGTGATTGCTCACATTGGTACCTAACGCTGAATTCTTAAATTGGTCACACATTGGTCACTTTTCCACACTGTTTGTGGATTGGTCGACATGGCAGACAAATGGTTCTGGTCCATTCTGGTCTGTTCTACCCTATTATGGTTTCATAAACTTACCCGCACGCAATACTGGCGTTGGGCTAGCTTAGGTCGGGTTAGAGTTATTACCTTGGCTCCGTAAAGCTGTATAATTATTGATGTGCAGCAATGTTGTGATCACGCACCAATAACGTAGCAATGGCGCCAGGGGACGCGGTTGTCGTGTGTTTGCAGCGCTCGGACGTTCGCTATCGCGATGATTAAAGTTCGAAGGCAACGGTATGGATGTACCCGTTTTATGATTGTTTGCGATATGTTCTTCCTTAAAAACGACGACTGATCAGCAGTGCTCTTTTTAACATTAGGTACCAATGTATACCTATACTATTAAAACTCCGCATGGCTGTACTGATTTCGCAGAGCAAGGATTGTTCTTACACACAAAAAAGGACTCCATACTGCTGGCGTGCTCTCGTAGAAAGGTCATTGCAGTCTTGAAACGCTGCCTTATAGGTCGAGTGGTTCAGGAATGGTGCCAACTTGCATGTAAAACGCATACTAGCAGGGGTGGATCCAGAGGGGGAGGGCCACGGGGCTACGCCCCTCCCCCCCCTGGGCCCCGAAGGGGCTCATTGGCTCCGAGGAGGACCCCATAGCACCGGCCGAACAGGTGCAGATTTTTAAACACAAAGCGCAACAAAACTGGCTGTCTCTGGACTTCCAGGCGACTAAGAACGGTTGTTAGCGGAAGTGAAGG